CGCTATATGAAGTCTAGTCTTGTTCTTTAGATTTGGATTTTTTCTATTCATTCATCAATTCAAGACTCCAAAGATATACAGCTACATTGTACCGCTATATAACGTCCAGTCTTGTTCTTTAGATTTGGATTTTTTCTACTTATTCATCATTTCAAGACTTCAAAGACATACCGCTACATTGTACCGCTACATGACGTTCAGTCTTGTTCTTTAGATCTGGATTTTTTCTACTCATTCATCACCTCAAGACTCCAAGGATATAATACACATTGTACCGCTATATAACGTCCAGTCTTGTTCTTTAGATCTGGAGTTTTTTATACTCATTCATCATTTCTCACTATCTATTTTTTTCCGTCAAATATCCGGATTGAAGAAAGGGCGTAACCTGTTAGTGGTCTTCCAACGTTTGGCTGGAATGAAATGGCTTACTTACATACATTATTTTTCGATTTGCCCTTCTCCAGGATTACTGCTAAGGGATGGAATCCCTCAAAACCGATACAGCTCAATGAAAACTTGTAAATCGAATAATATATTGGGTTCCACATTTATTTTTTCACAAACGCTATTCTACTACTCGACTCGCAATCTGGGGGTCGTGGGTTCGAATCCCTGTAACACCAAACATGCTCGCCCTTTCAGCCGTGGGGGCGTTATAATGTGACGGTCAATCCCACTATTCGTTGGTAAAATAGTAGCCCAAGAGTTGGCAGTGGGTGGTGATGACTAGCTGCCTTCCCTCTAGTCTTACACTGCTAAATTAGGAACGGCTAGCGCAGATAGCCCTCGTGTAGCTTTGCGCGAAATTCAGAAACAAAATATTCTACTACAGAAATTTAATGTTTGGAAATTAAATTTTATTCTTAATTTTTTGGTTTACTTCCTTCACGTCTACCTACATGTGACTACAATTTGTTGGATTTCATACCCATAGGGTTACCATAGCAGTATCCTTAATTGTGATCAGTACAGGTACATGGTGGACGAATACTTGTAAAGCTACACTGACCAACATAAAGCTAGCTGTGATCTTCGCCCTAAATCTTTAAGACTAAACATTTAATTCTAAACAATTTCACGATCCACATACGCTACTCATCGTGTTATTATTGGTTTGTTTTTAAATTGGTGTCTCAATCTTTTTTATTATATTTCTTATGGGGTTATGGTGGGAGGGGATAGATATTATTATTCCGAGTTTAATTATCTTTTGAGTGAAAGAAGTTTCTCTTCAACGTAATTGAAGTAGTAGATACTAACGTGTTAATCTTGAAGTAGATACTAACGTGTTAATCGTATTTCCATTAATAGTTGAAGTAGATACTAACGTGTTAATCGTATTTCCATTAATAG